CAGTTTGAACTTGTATGAGAGAGATAATCCGATATTGGTAAATGACAAATAAAACGATCACCCCTATTTATACCGTTGCCTGGAGAGAGAAAAACGTGATGATGAGGTTGCTCAAACGTCGCATGAAAAAGCGCGATTTGATAGGGTGGTTAATCCCAGGAAAACGTCAGCACGCGTGGGTTTTAAACGGATCAAATTCACGTGCCTAAATATTATCTTCGTACCGTTTGAAATTCCATATATCCCCTTGTTTGGTCACAACCGATAACCAAAAATTATACCAAATCGTAATAAGAATGTTGGAAAATATTAACTTTCGTGCATAAGAGTGTGAAAGATAAAGAAATAAAGCAAGTGTGTATTGGATGTGAGTGATGTCTTTTTAGAAGACAGAAAGCAGAGGATTCCGGGCATGAATCACTTCCTTCAAAGTCAAGAGAGACTTGAAGTTCTTGTGTGGTTTCCCGAAAAATACGATCAACTGTTTGTTAATAAACATTGAAAGGCTTCTTTTGATCATAGGCATTGGGTGGCTTTCCTCCAACCGAACATCGAGTTTTAACATAAAACCGATTGTTGGTAGAGGTACCTGTGAGACCGATGTGATCTATTGAACAGGTAGGTGGGATTTATTATATTAATGACTTATAGGAAGCAGAAATCTCAAAAAAAAAAAATAAACTGGACCTCTTTGGGAAGAAATGTCTTAGCTGTAGACGATTTCATAAAAGATCACGCAAAATAAAAAGAGATTTCCTTAGGTAACCAGTTAATGCTTGAGTATATCACTCACTGTCAATTCATTTTTGGTGTCGGATTTTGGGTTTCACTTAGAACGTGGTAATTGTATCCAAGATCATAAACACAGATATTGTGTAACCATAAACCTCAGTGGTAAAGACCGAGAGTCTCAAGGGTTACGTTAGTGAACCGAAGGTAGATGGAGAATATAAAGAGGTGGTTGAAGAACCGAATGTACCTTCTGCTAGATAAGCGTGACAGAGCAGAGAAACTCTTTACTCAAATGAGAAGAGTAAGGTAGCTCTAGACCGAGTGAGGTAAAATAGCCTGATTTGGAAGAAACGATGGGTATCGATTGAATCATTAAGGCTTACTCGAGATCATAGAGGCTTTATGACAACATACATCAGCATGCTTCTAGGGACCCTTAACTAGGTTGTGTGAAAGTTAAAACATACCTGCTTTAGATCTATCGACGGTTATACTTGTATTTACCTATTAATGATAGACACCAAACAAAACAAACAGGCAATTGAAACAAATAAAATATTTTTAAGTAATTTTCTGAAAAAGAAATAAAAACAGAAAGATAAAATATTTTTGGATTTTTGGAAATTTTTCTGAAAAAGAAAAAAAACAAAAAGAAAAAAATATTTTTGGATTTTTGAATTTTTCTGAAAAAGAATAAAAAAAGAAAGATAAAATATATTTGGATTTTTGAAATTTTCTAAAAAAGAATAAAAACAGAAAAACTTACAATATACAACCGAAACCTTATCTTATTATTGAGAGTAGACAGAGCGGAGCCGAGATAGACAAAGCGGTCTATCCATGTCGGTTCCCCAAAAATCTGCAGCAGAGATAGACCGAGCGTCTGTCTATCTCGGTTGTCTTAATTTTAAAGAGTGATTTGAGCATTCGGTACCGACTCTCCTTCCATCATACCCAAACCTTATAAGATTTTATTGAAGGTTGTTTCAGGTAAGGCTTTAGTAAAGATGTCGGCCAGTTGATCAGCAGAATGAACAAAATGTACTTCTACGTTCCCGTCTTCTACATGATCCTTGATGAAATGATACCTAAGTGCAATGTGCTTGGTTTTCGAATGTTGCACTGGATTATGACAAATCCTGATTGCACTTTCAGAGTTACAATAGAGAGGGATCTTTTTCATACTCAACCCATAATCTCTTAACTGACTTTGAATCCAAACAACCCTGAGAGGTACATGATGCGGCAGTAATGTATTCAGCTTCTGCTGTGGATAAGAAAACACAGGTTTGTTTCTTTGATTGACAACTGACAAGTTTTCCGTCAAGGAATTGACATCCTCCGGTAGTGCTTTTCCTATCCAGTCCACATCCTCCAAGATCAGCATCTGAAAAGGCTTGTATGAAGAATCCAGATCTTGCAGGATACCAGAGACCGAGATGATGAAGTCTTCTTCAGATATCGAAAAATATTCTTCATAGCAAGCATGTGGGGTTCTCTTGGATTAGCTTGAAACCTGGCACAATAACAAACAGAGAACATGATATCTGGTCTACTAGCTATTAGATACATAAGGGATCCTATCATTCACTACTAGAAAAACAGCCTTTTACAACGCTCATTGCACGTCGTAAAAGGCTCAGACGACGCGCAAATGCGCATCAAGGAAGGCCCTATCATAAAGAGAGATGACGCGTTTTTGCGCGTCGTCTATAGACGACGCGCATTTACGACGCTCATTTACGACGCGCAATTACGATGCGCGTTTACGACACGCAATGCGTATCAAGGAAGGCCCTGTCATAAAGGAAGACGACACGCATTCGTGTGTCATAACCTTACGACGCGCGTGTTAATGACACTCAATGCGTATCAAGAAAGGCCATGTCATAAATGAAGATGACACACAATTTTGCGTATCATAATTTTAAATGTTTAAAAAAAATATTATTTATAGATTTACTAATTTTCAAATTAAATAATACATTAAAAATCTCATAATACAAAATAAAATACCATAAATAACAAAGATAATTTATTTCACTAATATGTCAAATACAAATAATTATTCCAATAGTGAGTAAATGTTATAAAAAAATGAACTCATTTATATACAATTGCATTATCTAGCTTACTATGTGCCAACAACTCTCTATGTGTTTACTTTTGCTTGAGTCTTGTTTCCTCCAAAGCTTCTAGCCATGTCAAAATATGATATCTTAGGGTTCATGTCCAAATCAAGTAAAACATTGCTAGCTTAAATTCATCAAGTCCTTAGCGTGAAGTATTACATAGAAGCTTAACTGCAATCTCCAATCCTTCTAGCAGACCCTAAAGATCATTATTGGCCATGTAGCAGGATCAACCTGCAATCTCTTTTCTGCCTTCTTATTACTGCAACATCTTCTGCCTGTTTGACCAAGGCTATGCCTTCAGCAACAACATGTTGCATTGCATCAAAAAGATAAAAACAGATGACAACAAATACAAATAACTAGAAGCCAAGGGTAAAAGAATAAAACACAAAAAGAAGAGGAACAAACTCCTTGGCTTCCCCTCCATTTAAATTTTAATGTTTTGAAACACATATGAATTATGTACCTGAATTGTAAGAAGCATCATAATGACCCTTGCCAATCATTGCAAGCATTCACAAAAACTAATGATTGCAGTATGATCCTGCACAATCAAGGAAACAACAAGGTATGCAAGCTTATCAAATCTTTCAGATCTAAGAAAAAGTGGAAATAAAATTAAAGGAGAATGCAATGTCAATCACACTTACAATTAAAAACAAAATGCTTATTTTCTTTGTCAAAAAAATAAAATAAGTATGTATAGTAAAAGGAGGGAATAATAATACGAAGCAATACCTATACCAAATGTGTTAATACGTGGGGCCAATTTTGATCCATTGTTTTCTAGTTGTTTCTTTATAACTTCACAGATTTTTCTCTCATTTTCAACAGCCCCGTCAGTAATAAAGAAAACCATTGGAACTGAATGTACATAACAATCATAAATGCAAAGTAATTAGAGCTTACAAAACATTAAATGGAAAGAATAATTACCAGGACAAAGGAAAGGAAGACAAAGGTGAATAATGTCTCACTGACATATGCTCTTTCCTGCCCAAGTTCTTTCATGAAAAATAAACATAATTATAAATATGATCATTAGGACTTTAGAGACATAAAGAATGTGTTTTATGAATAAAGAAAGATCGAGCATTGAGTTATACATACAGGAAGAAGAACCCGGAGTCTTGTAGAATTGGTCCTAGATGATGATAATAATGATAATGAACTGATCGAGCTGCCAGCCCATGAACATACTAAAAAAAGTTGTTCCAAAATGATATATAATAAGATCATTGTGTTGCTATGAGAGTTAAGAAAATAGAAAAGAGTGAAATACTGGAAGATTTAGCTATCAACATATCACCAATATTGCAACATCATTAGTGAATATGGTAAGCACATTTTAAAATTTAGTTGACTAGAAAAATGGGAATTAATGGATTAAAAAACAACTTTTCAAATCCACTATGAAGATATACATGCTTGAAAGAGATACAAAGTGCTAGCCAATAATACTGAGTGATAAAGAACATCATTATTGCTTGGAGAATTATGTCATCAATGTTAAATTCCAATGCCAAATTGTTGTGAGAAAATAAAATGTGAAGATGGCAGAGTTAACCTGCTTAAAGTTGCCCAAATCTTCAAACAGAACCTACAGCATGAAAAATCAGTTACTGGAATGTACAACATAAACAAAATTGAACAAGAAGTAAATGAAGGGAATGGGTTGTGTCTTTTCTGACTTTATGGATAACAATTATATATATATATATATATATATATATATATATGGTTATTCCTTTTTTCCTCTCTCTGTTTTTTGGATCACAACAGTTTAGAAATGAAACGGTACAAGACTTGAATGCTTACTTTTGCTTGTAGCAATCTCCATATGAAGTATACTCAAGCGGACCAAGATACCCTTCTTTCCTAGGATTTGCTGTTGTCATGTCATCAATTTACCTTCTGTCAAATCCTAATCCCCATTAATATTATTACTGTATGATTGCATCACAGGAGGAACCAATCCAGATGCTTTCACAAGATCAAACTATGCACAACTCACCAAAAAACTGAAAAGCAAGCAAGACATGGAAGTATGCTCATAATTATAGATTTGTCATAATGTAGAAATGAATAAAATGAAAAATTCTAAGTGATGTACATCCCTGTAATGACACGTGGTCAAACCATAACCAAAATAAAATACAGGAGAACAATCAAGTGAAAGGCAATTTCAGCAGCCATATCCCATGCATCCCTGTAATGACATGTGGTCAAACCATAACCAAAATAATCAAGATTCAAGAATTATAACATCATAAACAAGTTCATGTGTTTATTACCACATATGCTGTTGATGATTTGGAGGTAACATTGGATAAGATACAGGAGAACAATCAAGTGAATAATCAATAAAGGCAGATGATCTCCAGTTCAACTCACCAAGAAGTTTCTTACGATCAGTTTGTCTCCCAGGTATTCTGTCTATAAGTGAATAATCAAGTGATTCATGTAGTAATGATCAAGTGCAAAACCATCTTAAGGCAATCTTGATGGGAGTTGTAAGGCAAGAAATGAAGAAATCAACAGGAAACTCATGACTTTTTCATGTGCTTCACATGCTGCAAGTAGAATACAGTCTCTTGGTGAAGTTCCTAAATAAGAACTTGAGGGAGTCCAATCCTGGAGTTATATACATATAAATGATATTCAAGCATTTAGTCAAATAATAGTAACAATGTTGTCAAGAAATAAATAGTTAATAATACCTCTATGAAGGCATTGGCAATCATCCCTGCAGCAGAACAATCAAAAACATATATGGACGGAGTCTTGAGCCATGAGTCAAGGTTGCTGATAGGCAATGGAATATACCGTGTATAACTCTACAACATTTGACAAGAATAGAGGAAATTAGTCTAGGGAAACTATTGAATACAAGGCATGAATATAGAAAGATAGTGCAAAATAAAAACATATAATTACCCTGTTAAAAACCAAATTTCACCATTGGTAGTTGGTTTAGGTACACCATGACCATTATAATGGAAAAGAACCCTTTTAGATTTGGCATATTTGCGACATGTATCACTAAAATATGCGGCTGTTTCTTGATCTTCATCCTCTTCTGTGCTTCCTGTAAACTGTAAAAAGCAAAACATCTTTACATTTCCTTCATAAAAAAACCATAATTACAAAAAAATAAAAAATAAAAATAAAAGTAGAAACCTGCAGCACTTATCACAGAAAAACTTATCCTCAGCATTTAAAGTCTCGGTGGAACTGAAGTTCTTTAGGCAACTTGTAATGGAATTGTTTTGCTCAATATCAAGGCTCAGATCTAAGAGTGTCTCATCTCTTGCAGTTACAGTCTCACATCTTAAACACTTTGTTTCGTTTGTGAGTATACCCTGAAATTGGAAAAAATAGGACAATTGATGAGTTTAATATTTGATATTGGTAAGCTAAGTAAAATGAAAAATAATAAAGATATGAATATACCTGAAAGTTTTTGTGAACCCATGTAACCAAGGTCTCCTTTCTTACACCATTGGCCAAAGGGACATGTATGCCATTGGGAATCTTTTCAGGAGGTGATGAATGTTCTTTTGTACCTTTTGTTTCTTTCTCTAGTATATCAAATAGTTTGTTTAACAAAAAGTTCAAAAATTCATGTGCATCCTACACAAAACTCAAAACATCATCAGAAAAATTAAGTGTAAATGGATTTTCATATTTGATGTAAGAGGTTGGTTTATTATATAATATAATTATAATACCTGATGCATGTAACCACAGAAAAGTTCATGTTCTTTCTTCACTCTTTGTACAAAGCGTTTTGGAGCAATAACATCTATTTTCTTCTTTTGTGTACTAATCTGATACAAGTAACCTAAATGGTGAATATAAATCATGAGGAAAATAAAATGCAACTTAAAAAAATATGGAATGGTTACAGCTATGGAAAAAAGCCCATTGTGTAGAATATAAAGTGACTAAGAGAAAAGAATAACTACCATTAAAAACTTATTTACAAGTAAATATGTATACCTGTGTAAACAGTTCTGCCAAACATGTAAGGAGATTTTCTTCCACATCTGGATTTTTAACCTTCTCATAATATTTGAGTAGTTGTTCACGAAATGGAACACAAAAATATAGACCCTGAAAATTATGATTTAAGAAAAAGATATATGAGAACATTAGCAAAATAGTTCAGGTCAAAATTTGAGTGAAGTTATTACAAACAATATGCTGCTAGGTTTAGCATATAGCAACAGCAGCCTCCAACAAATCTCTAAAGCAAACTACTTTGATAACCATGTGAACTCTAACTAATAAAACTAAATCACCCACTACAAGCTTTTTGATTAATAACTATTGGTGCAAGTTACTCAAGCATGGCAAAATACAACTTTATGTGGCAAGCATACATGATAATAGGTCACCCTACTCATCTAATCAGTATTAGTGGGAAACTAATACGTCAGACAGAAACAGACATACATCTTGTCTGATAGCAGATTATCTCAAAAGCATATAAAATGCAAAAGGAAATCGGAAATGATGAAAGGGTAAATGCATGAAACAATAGATTACCCGGTCCATATGGAAACAATAGATTAATAGTATTGAAAACAAACATTTAACCCTCAATTAGTTGGGTATGCTAAATAACTTAATGAGATTACATATGAAACTAGGTTACATGCTTTATAGGTTTCTTCTTTTTTCTCTCGCAATCAGAAATTTTAAAAGTAACATCTCATATTAATTTATTCAAACAGGTTACCTACTCTCATGGTTCACGAGTTAACAAATAAAAATTTTCCAAATTCACTTTTTTTTTGTGATCAAATCATTTGTCTACGGAGAGTGATTTCAATCAGGTAAATCAGGTAATTATCATGAACATTGATCATAAACTTTTCTAATTTCTTCAGATACAACACAAAGGGAAGAACTCACATGGAGTCGTGAGCTTTGGCGAATCAGAACTAATTAGCGAACCATGGGAAGGCAAGAAGTAGGCGATATGGAGAACATTGGTTAGCAGAGTAAGTTGACAACTAAGAATGTGTTTTAGTGGTGTTGTTGAGGTGTGTCGAGAACATGATAAACATACCTTAATCAGCCCTAGGGCTTAGAAACTTGAGTAGTTTTTCCAGTCTCCGGTGAGGTGAGGTGAGCCTGAGGTCTCCGGTGGAAAGAGGTGAGTTGAGGTCGCTTGCAGGTGAGGAGAGTCGAGGTAGAGAACATTGCAGAAAGCACTCCTTGAAAAAAGCCCTAGATAATGGTCCCTATGATGTTTTGATAATAAATAGTCTGTTCAATGAAGACGAGGGTTGGAAGACGGCATTCAATGAAGTTTTCCCTAGATAATGGTCATCATGAGAGTTCGCCTTCGAATATTCTTCGTGGATATTTGTCCTCAAGAGTTAGAAGCATTCTCGCAGCATTACAGATTTTTCTGAGTTGTTCTTTTTCAACTTTACATCGTAGACTGTATTCTCCGACCAATTTCAACTTTGAGTCTAGTTGTTCCTTTTCATTTGAGCGTCGATAATTAGGGCAAAGGGGAAAGGAGGGCAAGAGGGAAAGGAGAAAAAAGGAAGGCGAGGTTTTCAATTTTTTAGGATTCCATTTTTCCCCCTCCTGTTTATTAGGGGATGCAACGCACGTTCCAAAAAAATTTATAAAGCGACATCCATAGATGACACGTATTTTATTAGAGGTGCCCTCCGTGTTTTTTTTTTTGGATTAGACACTAATTTAAGGGCACGCAATAATGCGTGACCTAAATCTTTAAATTTTTTGAAGAGATGTCACTTTTTTAATGTCACTCTCTTTTGCGTAACATAGATTAATGAGTGTCGTTGTTTGCGCGTCGTATAAGGCTATTTTTCTAGTAGTGATTTGTCGATAAAGAGTTATGTCCACAGCCGGTTTCTCCAGGGATGGAGTTAGCTTGGTGTCGAATGCCATAGGAACCTTTACTTTTAAATCACCCTTCATTCCAAATTTAGTCAGCAGATTTTTGGTGTATGCTTCCTGGTTTATAAAGATACCTTTTGGTCCCTGTCTAATATTCAAACCAAGGAAAAAGTTAATTGGACCCATTGTGCTCATTTCAAATTTAGTCTCCATCAACTTTCTGAATTCAGCGGTTAAGCTAGGATTCGTGGAGCCGAAGATGATATCATCGACATAAATCTGAACAATCATCAAATGTTCGCCTTCCTTCTTTCGAAAGAAGGTTGGGTCAACCGAACCTTGTTTAAACTTTGACATTTTTAGAAAGCGAGTAAGAGTTTCATACTAGGCTCTTGGTGCTTACTTTAGCCCATATACAGCTTTATCCAGTACATAGCAATGATCCGGGTATTTTTCATTCACAAAACTAGGTGGTTGCTCGACATAGATAGTTTCTTCTAATTCTCCATTCAAGAATGCACATTTGACATCCATTTGGAAAACTTCGAAGTTCTTGTGAGCAGCATATGCTAGAATGATTCGAACAGACTCTAACCTTGCCACAGGAGAAAAAGTTTCTTCATAATCAATCCCTTCTTCTTGACAATAGCCTTTTACAACCAACCAAGCCTTGTTACGAATGACATTACCTTCTTTGTCCAACTTATTCCTAAATACCCATTTCAAGATGACAACAGAGGCATCTTTCGGTGTAGGAATCAATCTCCAAACTCTGTTTCGTTCGAATCCATTGAGCTCATCCTACATTGCTTGAACCCAATCAGAATGATCAAGTGCAGCATTAACTGTTTTCAGCTCTATTTTGGAGAAAAAAGAGTTAAACATACAAAATTTCACTTTAGAGAATAATGCTGTTTGTTTCGCCTTCAGTTGAGATCTAGTAAGAAAACTTCCGGAGGATTAACCAATAATTTGCTCTTTGGGATAGTCTTTTGTCCATTTTACTAGCGGAGGATAACTTGGATCATATTCTGGATTTAGTTCTGTTTCAACTTCAATTTCAACATCTAACTGATTCCCTTCACCTTCATCAGTAGAACTATCAATTGTTTTCTCCTTCTCCCCCTCGACTGGCGAAGTGAAGCCTTTGTCTTCAGCAGAGTCAGCATTGGGTATCTCCCCCTCGATTGGACTATCACTTGTTAATTTCGGTTCAGTTGTTTGAGTATCAGTTGAACTATGAGATGTTGGGGCGGAATTGTGATTCTCCCCCTCAACGGGAACTCCAGATGGTTTGAAAGTGGTAGAGTTCTCCCCCTGGAATGTTGAATCAGTGTTTGAGGTACTAGGTGATGGTTTAGGAGTAGGTGTTTCGGTTTCCATTGATTTGGCAGCTTCGTCTATTACTTTCTTCAGATTATCTACCTTGTTGTCTGTTGCTGTTGCCTCCGAATGTATTGCCTTTTGTGGTTCATCGAACAACCGAATGTATTCATCAAACAGATTGGATATTGGAACCGAGACCTGTCCAGATGCTGGAAATATGTCTCCAGAAGCATCTTCTGTTCTTTGAACCTTCTTCATGTAATTGTCGTCAAAGGTGACATAATAAGTCTCTTCTATACTTTTGGAATGCTTGTTCAACACCCGGTATGCTTTTAATGATAGAGAGTAACCCAGAAAGATCCCCTCATTGGCTTTAACATCAAACTTATTTCGGTTTTCTTTAGAATTAAAGATAAAGCACATGGAACCGAAAATGTGGAAAAACTTGACGTTTGGTTTCCGATTGTTTAAGATCTCATAAGGAGTTATCGAGAATCTCTTGTTGAGGAAGGACCGATTCTGAGTATAATAGGCAGCAGCAATGGCATCAGCCCAAAAGTATAGAGGTTGAGAGGCATAACTGAGCATGGTTCTAGCTGCTTCACACAACGATCGGTTTCGTCTTTCAACAATCTTGTTTTGCTGTGTTGTATAAGGGGCCGAAAAATTGTGTGTTATCCCCTTATCAGCCAGAAAGTCTTCGAAATCATTGTTTTTGAATTCCAACTCATTTTCACTTTTGATGTTTCTTACTGTCTTCTTTAATTGAACTTCCACTTGCTTGATGAACATCTTCAGCTTGGGAGTTGCATCTGATTTCTGTTTAAGAAACAAAACCCACGTGAAGCGTGAAAAATCATCTACAATAACTAGAATGTACTTACTTCCACCGATACTCTCTATAGCAGATGGTCCACACAAATCAATATGTAACAGTTCAAGTGCTTCCATGATCTTGGTATTAATGCGTGTAGGGTGGCTTTTTCTGCTCTGCTTTCCCATTTCACATGCTACACATAAATGCTCCTTTTTGAACTAGAGAAGAGGAAGACCTCGAACGTGATAACCAATCATTAGTTTGTTGATATCTTTGAAGTTCAGGTAAGATAGTCGTCGATGCCAAAGCCAACTTTCATCAGTGTTTGCCTTTGATAGCAGACAAATAGATGGTGTCCCTCGAATAGGATTAAGATTCAGAGGATACATTTCTCCTTTTCGTGCAGATTGCAGCAGAACTTTCTTGGTTTGTTTTTCTATTATTTCAGATCCTGCATCATCAAATGATACCTTCAAGCCTGTGCCCACAACTAATTGCGAGACACTGATGAGGTTGTGTTGCAATCCCTCTACATAAGCCACCTTTCTGATAGAGAAGTCTCCATTTGTTATCATCCCATATCCTTTGATTGTTCCATATGAGTTGTTTCCAAACTTCACAAAACCACCATCCTTTAGAGAGAACGAAATTCCCTGACACCCTGTTCCGGAGTTTCATTTAAATGAAAGAAAAGAAAAGAAGAGAAATGTGGATAGAAAAGAAAAGAAAAGAAGAGAAAGTAAAGTTTATTTTTATGTTCCTGGGTTCGAGAGAAAGGAAAGGAAAATTATTTTTCTTTGTGTTCCTGAGTTGGAAGGAAAAGAAAGGAAAACTAAAAGTGGACAACTATACCCTTGTCACCCTTTTTCCATAATTTCAAATATATACCATGCGATTCTTTTGAAAACAAAATTATGCCTAAACTATTTTTCTTTAATTATTTTTTTCACATGATTATTTATATAAAAATCATTAATGCATAATTCATTATTAATCACAATTCTAGTATATTCTTCATTTATATAACTTTTTCAAACAAAATCAATATAAAGGGTAAAAGAAGTAAATAAACCCAAACCAAAACTAACATAAATGTATCAATAATCAAACAAATTCATAAGAAACCAATTTAAAGTCAATGCAAGAATAATCAAACAAATTCCAATGTATGAACTCAAACCAAAAACCAAAAAGTATGAAGTCAAACTAATAAAAAAAAAATCAAAAAACTATCATCCTAAGTAAGTCATTTACTTGCCCCCATCATTTTTTTCAGCAAAGTTTTTCGTATTTTAAATGGAACTCTAAATAACGTCCTTGCATCAGATTGATTTTGCAACAAAAACATGAGAGCTTCCACTAATTCATCGGGTTCCAAATCCATTGGCTCCAACTCTTTATAAATTTCATCACCAGTATAAACTCGATGATGAGAGTTTTCGAAGATTTTGTTACCCTCCCTCATAGCAGAAGCCACATCTTTAACTGCACTCATAATAACCTTTTCAAACGATTCAGGTTCAACTTCAGGTTCATCTTCATCTTCAATTTCATGTTTCCTTTTTTTAGTTTTGTACTTCTTAGAACTTGAATTTTGCACCGGTGAAAAGCATGTAGGAGATAACACTTGAATATCATCAAGACCATCATCATCATCATCATTATTTTTTTGTTGTTTCTCAAGTGTTATGTCATTGCTTGCTAGTAACTGATCCACTTCTTCAATTTTTTCTACTTTGATATCCCCAATCTTGTTCAATCGAGCATTCTTCTCTTTCGGGGTTTCAACATGCACCCCTGAAGCCCTATCTTTCGCAAACAAAGCTATCATTTCATTGTAGTTTGGTATTTTTTTGGACTTCAATGAAATTGCCTCTGGCTTTGACTGTAACACACAATCCCAAATACAATTATTGTTAAGAAAAATAACATAAATGTATACAAACTAAGTAACATGCAGTAAAAAAAACTTACATTAATTAGGTTGGCCCACACTTCCTCGTCCGCTTCAATTAGTTGTGTTTCAGAATTCCAATCGAACGCACTCAATGAAGTTCCGCGGAACATGTCATACCATTGCGAGAAACCTGATTTTAAAGTTTTCAAACGATTCTTTAAATGACTTTTTGTTAAACTCTTCCCAAACTTTTGATTAAGCTCCTCCACCATGTTAGAGTATGCTTGTGGGATGAAACTCCCACTAATCCTTAATCCTTTGTCATCTTGTGTCATCATAGATTGAATAAAACAAGAATCCATCCAATCTGTCCATTTTATGTGTTCTTTCTTAGTAACTTGTTCTTCCTTCATCATTTTGACCTGCGTAACATCATAAATAAACAAACCAAGCATTGATAACATAAAAATACTTACTTAGAGGATGTACAAATAATGAGTAAATAACATGTCCAAAAGATAAATAACACAAATAAAGTCAAAACAGTAACGATTCATACAAAATCAAGTCAAACACAAAAGATCCAAACAAAATCAAATTGAAATGTTATAATAAAAACTAGTAGCTACATTGACATATCTATCTCATTGTTTCGATTTGGCAAGTAATCAGTCCACATTTGATTTGCAATTAAGTTCCTCATTTGCTCTGCCGCAGCATTACCCTAATTTGTCTCTCTTATATTATGGCGCATTTCCTCTCTTGGTTCATTTAACATTTCTTGTAGGACCTCATCTTCAAGATTTTTGTCTCGATCTTCTTCTAACAAAAAGTTATGTAAAATACAACATGCCAAGAAAATGTCTGATTGTGTTTCACAAGAATAAAAAGGTTCTTGTGTACTTCTAATGATAGGAAACGTTCTCTTTAAAACACCAAATGCCCGTTCTATAGCGTTACGTAATGAAGCATGACGGAGATTAAATAACTCTTTTGCATTCTCAGGGGCACGAGCAGAATACTCTTTCAAATGATATCTGACACCGCGATATGGTGCCATTAGTGTAGTTGTATGGGGCAAACCAGCATCTACCAAATAGTATCGACCTATAAATAAGTTGTAATTAGTTATGTATTAAAAATTAGATTACACATAAGAGTAATTTTGGTATTAAAAATTTACCCTTTGGAATTACTAGTTTATCTTCTCTATTGAGTGCATTCTTTAGTATCCTTGAGTCTGATGCTGTACCCTCCCAGCCACTTAAAATGTACGTAAATTTTAAATCAAATGTACAAGCAGCTAAGACATTTATCGTAGGGTATCCCTTGCGACCACAATATCTAGGGGCATCTTTGTTAGGTACTTTGACACGAACATGTGTCCTGTCAACTGCACCTATACAATTCTTGAAGTAAGGATAAAATCGTTTTTTTTCTTGAATTTCTTTTTGTACAACATCACCTTTTGGTTGTTGAATATAATAACTCTCCAGTGATATAATTGCTCGGAGAACTCTATGGAAGCACCTACTTGTAGTGGATTTAGAGCGACGATATAGCCAAGAGACAAATCGATTTCTAAAATCATTGCCGACAATGTGCAAAAATCTTGCAACATGCTCTTCAACGGACATGCGTTGAGTAGCTCGAAGACCACCAACTTGTTGTAAGATAGTGCACAATTTCTTAAAAGCCTGCTCACTCATACGGATAAGTTCACGACATTGACCGCCGTTTGAAAGGTCGTGTAGCAACTGTTCACGTATACGTTGCCGTTTTAATATAAGTTTCCTAGAAGGTAATTTGGGACGGTTTGTGTTGGCAAGGGCACGATATGTCAGAATGGCCATCAACAAGCAAAGCAGATGAACTACTTGTCTTTGCCTGACTCTCAGAAATTGAGCGGGTTTTTGTAGTTCACTATCCATCGAAAATTTTACCTATTTTATGAAAATTATTAAACTGTGATTATTATCTTATATGTGGATGTATAGGTTATAGTATGGTTATAGTTTCTTACTCAAACCAAAGGTATATTCAAGGGCAAACAAATTTGTGAAAATAAATTTCTTAAACGATATATAAAAATGTACTTGTTTATAATTTATACATTTATAATAATATGAAAAATCAATATTGAATTGAAGAAACTTATGAAAAAATTATAATAAAATAAATAATGATGTATACATTTTTAAAGAAATACGTTTATAGATAAAATAGTAAAGCATAATAAATATAAAATATGAATGAAAGATAACAAAGTATTGATAATAAATTTCTATATGCATCTAATATGTTATGATAGTTTAACTGTTTATGGGACTCCAATATAATTTTTTGCAAAAAATTCCTATGTAGTAGTATTGACACCAAGAAAATGAATCAAATAGTATGTGCAATAATTAGTCATATGTCAACAACTACCACCAAATTAAAAACAAGAGAAAAGTTATAGAAGCACATGCACCGGTCATTATCATTTTATTTTTCATTTGTTTCTTTTAGATATAAATAGCATTATTTGTAGCTACTTTATGAGATATCTTTTTCATATGTTTCTATTACATATAAATATCATAATTTGTTTGTAGTTACTTGATAAATAGCAAAAGAAAAGTTCACATCTCTTTTTTTTTTCTTTTTTTCTTGTCGTGTACAGCAGCAAAAAGCAAAAGCAAAATACTTGTTGCTTCTTTTGTTACTTATTTGTTCAGAGTTGGAGAGTTGAACCAACAATTAACACCAAAATAAAATAAAAACACATAGGAATCATACACAAGAAGTCGAAGAAGGGGTTGAAACAGCAACTAACACCACATTAAAAACAAATAACGATCATACATAAGAAAGCGAAGAACAGAATGAAACTTGATGTTTTGCTGAAAGAGAGAACAACCAACAGAGCGTGAAGAAGGAAGCAGCGGTTTTTTTTTTTTTTTTTTTCTGTGTTTTGCTGTTGACGTGATTATATAGGGTTCAAGGGCAATTTGGGAATCACCGAGATTTTTTGCTTGTCAATGATTCTTTCTCTCCAAATCTCTCCAATTTGGGAGGAAGATTAGGAGAGGAAAGATACCTCCGATTTCCTTTCCTTTCTTCCCAAATCAGTCCAAAAAATAAACTCGGGAACGCCATTGAATCCTTCTTTCTCTCTAAATCCATCCTTTTCTCTCGATTTCCCTCGTTAATTGCAACTCGGGAACAGGGTGTTAATTCCTCCTTTCTTCCTGTCATGTGACGCGAGCAGCCACTGTCTATATACCATGCGTCGTCAAACTGCTCGTCACTGTTTACCTGCAAATTCAAGCGGATTTAGGAACCCAAAGTTTCTTGGGTCCTGGTGAATTTTTCACAGAGAAAAGAATAACACTAGAAGCATCAACAAAATAAGTTCGTTTAATGAGAGTTGTTTGATCTTTTCTTTTGATGGTAAACACCTTGATTTTTGTTTTATCTTCTTTAAATCTTAATGTATCTTTAGTGTTTTTCGTTTGATTCTTAGGTTTAGGGGAGGATCTCTTATGTTCATCTTGGAACCTGGAGGACCCATGTCTAGAATTGGGATCGAAACTGGTGTTCAGACCGAATCTGGGATTAGGATCGAACTTGGGTCGAGGACCGAAACTGGGTTTAGGACCGAACTTGGGTCGAGGACCGAAACTTGGTTTAGGACCGAAACTGGGTTAATGACCGAAATTGGGTTTAGAACCGAGACTTGACTTTCGGTTTTGGGATTTGGAATAATAGGAATTAGGACTGAAATCTTCCTTTGACTTTTCCTTTCCTTTATCCATGGATTCTTTCCTAGGAGGCTCATAGTTAGGATTTTGAGAATTCCAATGCCTTTTTCATTCATTCAAATTCGAGGCATATCGTTGATTTCTGATTCTTTTCTGTTCAGCTAGCTCCTTCTGAGATTTGTGAACATTGAAGCTGGCCTTTGATTTCTCCTTATCAGTTGCAGCTGTCTTGTCTTCCATTCTGGTTTCGGTGCGTTCCTTAGTGTGAAATTCCGGTGTTTCCTGTCTCTTGAATGGACCTTTCGGTTCTTTCTTCTCGATTGGAACATCAGGTTGCATTAATGGTTCTTCAGGAACATCTTTAGTTCCGCTTGTGCTGGGAATATCGAAACTAGAAGGTTTATTGATGGGTTATGGTATGTATCATTCTTTGACTCTCCATGTGGTTTTGTCAGACAAACCCACAGTTTCATCTGCATTGTCAATGGGAGCAGAGCAGAAATAGTCTTCACATCCTTCAGCGTTATCCTCGTCAACTATTGTCCTTAATTCTGCTGTTTGTCTTTGAGTGACTCCAATCACAGCATAAACTTAGGTTGGTACTGTCTGTACCTTCTGATAGACCAAGTCCTTTTCTTTGAGTTTCAGTTTCTGTTCCTTTGACAGACGAGCAAACTCAACTGAATTTTCTGAAATAAGAGGTTTTTCGCTCTTGGCTTCATTTTTCACAAACTCAGAACAATCCACAACATCCTCTACTGAGATTTCACTCATTTCACTCTCCGTTTCAAATTCAGAAGAATTATCTATGTTTATTTTATTATTCTTGACAATTTTGGCATTTGATTCATCGAATGTTTGTATAGTTTCGGTTTTAATTTCCAGCCTATCATTTTCATCTAAGATATCTTTTAACATACTTTTATGTTCCTTAGAATCGATGAAAGTTTCTATCTTATCTAAACCTAGCCTATATGACATGGATGTTTCTTCAGAGTATACTTCTGATTCACACTTTGCTATAACATCATCTTCCTTAAATTCAAGAAAGGGAAAAATCATTTTATATATTTTCTTTCTAATTTCACAATTAGGATGTAATTGAGCAATATTAGTATAAAGATGCTTAGCAATTAAACAGAAAACATTTCTTTGTTTTAACAATTTCAAATTGTCTCTTTGCAAATAAATACTCTCATCCTTAGCTCTAACTAATTCAGCTTCCTTCTGCTCGATCCGGATCCTTCTCTCCTCACTTTTTGAAGACACCCTGCCGAGTTGGTCAGTTAGGTTAGAGTTTGCTAAGCGGGTTTGCATGAGGCTACTACTTAGGTTGTTAAATTTAAAGTTTAGTTCATTTAATTCTTCTAGATATTCAGTTTTAGGAATTTTAAGAGATTCAAGGATAGAATGTACCTTTTTGATCAATCGATCGCAGTCGTTGATCTTCTCACTCACCGGCTTGGCTGCAAAACACTTATTTTCAGTCATGTTCGGTTTTGTGTCTGCACTTTCGGTTGATGGACCAGTAGTGACGATAAAGCATTTTCCAACAGAACCTTCATTCTTTGCCACAAACGCCTTTCCATGAGTGGGTCTTCTAACCTCTTCGTCTTCAGAGTCTGTTGACCAGACTTCTACACCACCGAATTCATCTTCCCCTGCATTTTCTTGTATAATTAGAGCATTCATCAAGCTGTTGGAAGCCTTTTTCTTCTTGACTTCTTCAAGTTTACGCATGTAATATGCTTCATCATCTTCACCCTCTCTCTTCTCAGCCATCTTTCTTAACATGCAATCTTTGGCAAAGTGGTTCTTGCCATGACAATAGTTGCAGTCGTATCCAGAGTCTCCTGCAAGCTTGTTTTCCTTTTTCTCTTCCACCTTTTGAGAAGAGACTTTCGGTTCCTCTTTTGCTTTCTCAGAACTATAACTTCCCTGCCAATTTCGGTTCTTATTGGTGGGAAATTTTCTTCTTGCGAATTTCTTTGGATTTGTTATCATTAGAGCATACTCCTCACTTGTAAGATCACATTCTGACATGTCTGACTCTTCTTCTTCCTCAACAGCACTTTTACCTTTAGAGACAAGAGCCAGCGATCCCATGCCAGAGACCACTTTCGCCTCCTTAGTTACAACACTTTCATGTGACTTTAGTATCCCGACTAGTTTCGCCAGTGAGTAGGATTTGAACTGTTCATGCTCCTTCACAGTGGAAACCACAGCCATCCATTCTGGTCTGAGCCCGTTCATGAATGTAACTTTCTGTTCGATCAGCTTCCTCTCAATTCCATTCTTGATCATCTTACTTAAAAGATGAGTGAATCGATCAAAGGTCTGAATGAGCTTGTCTTCAGGTTTCTATTCAAAAACTCCAAATTCTGATAGCAACAGAGTTTGAATGGAGTGTTCCAGATATTCATCAGTTGAGTAGAGTTCCTTCAACCTAACCCATATCTCCTTAGCAGTTGTGCATGAGCCCACAAGCCGAAAGGTGTCAAATTGTAAGGAGAATCTTATCATTCACATAGCTTTAACATTACATAGGATTTTGTCCTTCTCATCTTGTGGCATCTTCTGAACATCTGTCACCAACTTGTTGTAATCTTTCTGTGTCTTGACAATCGTGTTTGTTTCTAAATGCACAAACGGTCCAAGAACGATAGCTTCCCAGATGATATAGCCATTATCTTCATATCCAACCACGTAATCTTCAATGTGATGAGCCCATACTTCGTAGTCTTGAGTGTAGAGTATGGGAACTCTAGTTGTAGATCCGATGTTGTTTGAGATGTTAATTGGGTTTGTATACGTATCGTCGTGAGACATGGTGAGCTACTAGAATCTTACCTGTACACTTGAGATTAGGGTTTTATCAAAAGCTGAGTAGTCATCGTTAAGAAGACGACGGCTTCGATAAAAGCGGAAACCCTAAATATTTGTGAATATAGAAGAAAAGTATATTGATCAACACAATCTCCTACTCTGATACCAATTGTTAGAACAATGTTCTATCAGGATCGTATGATTCTAAGCAAAATATAAATAAGAACGTAATGAAGAACACAAGTATTGCACTGAATATGTCGAATGATTAATGCAAAAATACCCCAGAAGAGCTCGATAAAGAACTTCAATCTGTAGAGGTATATTAGGGTTACAAGAATCAACGTAATCGACTGTTC